CTATTTTTTGAGTTGGGGTCTATCTCTGTCACCCAGGATGGAGTGCAGCAGTGCAATCATAGCTCATTGCTGCCTCCAACTCCTATGCTCAAGCAATCCTCCCACCTTAGCCTCCCTAGTAGCTTAGACTACAGGTGTGTGCCTCCATGCCCTGGTTATTTTTAAATTTTTTTTGTATAGATGATGTCTGGCTCTGTTGCCCAGGCTTGTCATGAACTCTGGTCTCAAGCAATCCTCTCGCCTTGGGATTACGGATGTGAGCCACCACGCCTCACCCGAGCCTTCTACTTAAAAATAAAAGTCCTAAGGAGGACTGAATCTGTTTTTCTGAAGGAAACCCAATGACTTAAGAAGAACACAGACCATCACAGAATGCCCTAAGGAGTGGTTTCCTAAGGCAGGAGTCCCATCCTTTCCATGAGAAGTTGCATGAAATTGTTTGTTTCCAACTCGTTGATTCTACTCATTATGAAGGATTTCCAGGCAGAGCATTTAATTCATGCCTTATGTGGTCAGCTCTGTATTCTGCTCCGGCAGGATGCAAATAACATATGAAAGTCCGAAGGGGTGGGGCTGGGCCCAGTCACTCGGTTGAGATTCTGAGGGTGCTAATTTTACTAAGTGGGCTGGGCTCAAGGTCTTCCCTGCCATACCTTTTCAGGTTAGCACCCCATCTTCTCTCAAACTCTGTTTTTCTTTTCTGTGTATTTTGTTGCATGTGGAAGAGCAATATGGGAGTAGAAAAAAAGGTTTTGGGCCAAATAATGCAGTATGGTTGGAAATGCTTTCCTTGTGCAGATTTGGCATAAAAATAAACTTCTCCGGGAGAGGGCTGTTGGTGCTTGTTGTTCATTAATATGCTGAAATGATTTCGCACCCCCCTCCCATTTTGAAGGTTCTTTGAGGCTGATTTCTATTCATTTTTTTTTTCTGGGAAAAAGATAAAATGGGTAGGGGGAGAGGTGCGAGGGGGCAGGATGTAGAACTTATGCAGTGTAGAACTTTTAAGAAATACTACCGTTTGTGTAGTTTTCTTAGTTACATAAGGCTTAAGGGCTTCATTGTCTCTGCTTGTGGATTGGTGTCTTCACAGGAAAAAAGACATTTAGGGAGGGTTTTCAAGTGCTGCCAGCTAACCTTATGAGCTCTTGAATTGTAGTTAGGGAATATGGATATATTGGGCAGGCTCACTTGGTCACTGAAACCTGCCAAGCTCACACATCACTGGTGAAACAACACACACACACACACACACACACACACACACACTCTCTCTCTCTCTCTCTCTCTCTCTCTCTGGTGTACATGTAGGACTACTTCTTTTTCAGAATTTTTTTTTTAAGCATTGTATGGTGGAGTCCATATTTCATGTGGATACAGGTAGGTAAAAGAAAAATGCTCTTCCTTTTTGGTTTTAAATTAGAGAATCCCTTGAGTAAAACCAAAACCCTAGGTTAGGATGGCATTTAACCAACTGTGATGGAAACGGCATAATATCAGGGATTGTGCCGTTGACAGCTGAAACCCTTAGTAAATTGACTTAGTGCCTAGCATGGAATAAGTGCCCAGCAATTATTAGGTGACCATTGATTTGGGAAGGCTGAGGGTTTGTGGGCTCGTGGCCTTGAGGGTCGGTGGGTACCTGGCTGGGGGTCGGTGTAATCCACAGTGTAGCCATCCAATTGTAGAAGTTCCTGAGGCTCCGCTTTCTTCTCCCGATAACTGCACATGGCAAATGTGTACTGACTGACCTGTTAAGGAAAAGCAGACTGTGAGATTGACCCCTAGAGCCTGTCTTCTCCAAAAAACCCTCCCCCATGTTCTCTCCTCTGAGGATCTGGACTGAGTGGTTGGGTTCAAATTGAGTTTTGCTACCTCCTGGCTGTGTGACGTTGAGCATGATACTTAACCTCTCTGGTCCTTTATAACCTCGTTTGTAGACTGGATACAACCTTAGAACCTACCTCTTTGGCTTATTGTGAAGACTGAATGAGTTCACATGTGGAATGCACTTAGAGTCTGTTCCTGGCACTTAGTAAGTGCTTGATGAAGGTTAGCTATTATCATTATTGCTTTTAATATAATTGGGTTAAGCTACATGCGATTGCCATTTTTGTAGGTCAAAAGTGGTTAAATGACAGCAATTTTGTATGTTCTACCTAATGTGACTGTGGCCTTGGCTGAGACTGCTATGCTTGCAGATACAACATGGGCCTTTTGGTCAGAAGTTAGAGGCTAGACATTCATTTATTCATGCCTTTTTATTTTAGTATTTCATTTTTTGCACCACTTTGATCAGCGTCAATCTACGTGTTTCATCCCTTTCTTCTTCCTGCTGAAGGAGTACTTTGGTTGCTTTGAAGTCTTCTTTTCATCTCAGACAAGTGCAGGAGTGACACGCTGTCACAAGCAATGAGTGCTTGATCGCTAGTTGCCAGTCACAGTAGAGCAATCCTCAGCTCCCCCAGTGGCGTGGCTGTTGTCACTGGTGCCCTAATGGCAGCCCTCACTCCACCGACACAAACCATGCCAGTGCAGGGCGGGTGCTCACAGCTGCAGGCCCGCCTTCAGGACCCTGTCGCTCTAGTGCATCCAGACCCAGCACATATACTTAGCATTTCTACATCTGGCTTGTCTGCAAGGAGCCCGTGGGAAAGCAAGCATCCTCCCAGCTTTGGGCTAAAAGGTCTCAGGCATATTTACTATCCATGGATGTCAAATGTCTTGGAGAAGGAGTGCCACATCCCTCATCCCTTAGTTTCCTTTATTAAAAGAGACACTTTCTAAGTGAACTTTGATCCCAGCGGGGGACATTTTTAGCCTCTTCTACAGTGAGATTTGTTTTTGCTGTTTTAATGGTGATACGAAGTTGACGTTCTTGAGCGCTACATGCATCTCCCCCACTGTCTGAGGCGTGAGGGTCCCAGTGGAGAGATGCAGGGTGTCCGCAGGAGGATGTTTTTGGTAGTTGGTTTGTCTGTTGCTGCCCTCTGTTGGCTCCTGATGGAAACTTTACTGCCCCACTTGGGTTTCTTCATAATGTAAAGGGTTTGCAGAACTTCTTCCTTATATCGCAATGCCAGGGGAAACCTAAGGCTGGGTCACTGAGAGTATTTTCATAAAGAAACACATATAAATTACTTGTAATAAAGAAAATAACCAATAACATACTCTTCTCCTAAAATGGAAGGATAAGAGTGTAGGCTGGGGGTTCCATGGGCCTGGGGTCACATCCCAGTTCTGTTAAAGCTGTCTGTTCTCTAAGCCTCAGAGTCTTCATCTGTATTTACCGGCATCTTATTGTTGCTAGAGAATTGAGTTTTACATACCATGTGTGATACCCATAGAGCAAACACTTCATATACATATGCATTTTTACAGGCAGCTTCCTTGCATTCGACACACATTTTAATATAGCGTAGCTCAATAGGTGGATTTACCTACTGGATTATAAATTCATTGAAGGTAGGTCTAGGTAGTCATATGTCTTGATTGTATTTTCACTCCCATGAGCAAAATCTGCCATATAATGGACATTCACTAGTTGACTCTGATTGGTTCTAGAACGTTGAGTACATACAATCCAATCAAGAGGTTTTACCCCCAAAATTTACAGGGTATTCCAAGTATAGCACCAGGCCTTTCCAACTTGTTATTATTGATTCTAGGGATAACAGATTTCCTGTGACCCTTTGCATG